GTTACCACAACATATAATTTCCCTCTGGGATTAATAAAGTATTTTTGAATTTGAATTTGAATTTGTCCGTCTTTGAACAAGGTTACTCAAAAGGTTATGGACAGATTTTCACAACATTTCAGGAAATGTTGAGGTTGTTGTCACAACGAGCAAATGATTAAATGTTGGTGGTGATCTGGGTCACCGTTTGGATCCAGGAAGATTTTTAAAGGATTCTTGAGTATCTGCTGCGTGACGGACCCTAGGGTCTTGACGGAGGTGTGCTTCCCCAAGTGCTTCTAATTTTTAAAGTTATTATGCTCACAACATGCATGGACGGACAGCTGAACTGATGGAAAAAGGGTATTTCCAATTCCTACTTTTTGTTCTGCGACAAGGGACAAAAACTGACACGGTGCAAGGCTGGCGTGGAACCAGCAACCAGTGGACATCAGACCAATGTCTCCAACCTCTCCTCTTCCCCCTTACTTGTCTAGCATGCATAGCTTGTTCCTTTTAAGTTTTCACCAGCCAATCAGATCTGAAACAGGGCATATCCATCCGACAGACACTCGTTCAGAAAAGTGGCACGGGGCGTTTAACGCTGGAGTACCGTTCGCTTTGTTGATGTTCCCTCTTGTTGTGCACCATCTGACTTCTGTAACCTGTCACCGTTGCCACAAATAAAACAAACATTTTACCTGCTATTTTTTGTGCGTGAAGGGATCTGACGAACACACGTCCTGTTTAACTACTATGATCATCGAGGAGTCGACGCAGTGCCATCTACTGTTCAGTAGGAGAACTACAGTCGTCTAAATGTCACCATCCTCTGGTACCACGACTATAATCTGTCCTCAGTGCAGCGCGAGAGCTTTGTACGCTGCACACCTCCACCCTGCAGAGTCCCTGGTTTCTCTCTGCTAAACATTGCTTAGTTTCAGCAACTTTCTGTCTGTGGCCCTCCTAAATAATTCATGAGTACGGCTCCTCATCATTAATTCAAAAGAGGAAGAGTGTATCTCACTTGGCACGTGAATGAGTGTGTGTCAGTCAAACTGTGGATCTGATTCTTTACCTAAACTTTGTGGTATAAAACACAGGAAACAAACATGGAGAGTGAATATGTGTGTGTGTGTGTGGGGGGGGGGGGGGGGGGGGGAGGGGGGGGTGTGGTGGGGGGGGGGGGGGGGGGGGGACACTGCGTCAGTTTGTTGGTTTGCAGGTTGTGTTGTTGTCTGCAGACCAAGTTACTCCCTCGTGTTTCCAGCGACTCACTGCTGTCTCTGTTGTCTTTAGATTTTTTTCCCCACATTAAGTTTTCAAAAGTTCAATATTTCTGTTGAACACAAAGCTGACCCATGACCAGTTTAAATCCTGTTTTTAGATCAAATGCATGGGAAGTAAAATTACTCAACTAAAAAAGTTAAATCTGGTCCTCTGGACATTCAAAAAAACAAAACAAAGCAAATCAACAAAAAAATGTAGAAACGTTTCGTCTCTCATCCGAGAGACTTCCTCAGTCTGAGGTGCTGTATTCAGCTCAGTCTCTTAAATAGCACCTTCTCAGAGTGGATCAACCAGTTTTGCTGCTGACAACCAAAACCAGCTGGTCACATGCTCAAGAAGGACCATCAGCCTAACAATGGATCATTAGCACCTGATGGCTGTTTACTGTTCACAGAGGGCTGAGTGATACTAGCAATCACAGCATTGTAAGAGGGGGACAGTTGAACCCGGAGGCCTCCACCCCTGTTTAATGATGGACGATTTCTTTTCACAAAGATGGCCTCCTTTACTCCTCTCTCAAACCATCGTTCCTCTCTGTCCAGGATGTGAACATCTTCATCCTTGAAAGAGTGACCGCTGGCCTGGAGATGAGTGTAGACCTCAGAGTCCTGGCCTGATGATGTTGATCTTCTGTGCTGGGCCATCCTTTTGGCCAGTGGCTGTTTTGTTTCCCTGATGTAAGACTGATCACAGCCCTCCTGACACTGAACAGCATACACAACATTGCTCTGTTTGTGCCGGGGGACTGGATCTTTGGGATGAACCAGTCTTTGCTGTAATGTATTTTGGGGTTTAAAAGCCACTGGGACGTTATGTTTAGAAAATAAACGTCTCAGTTTCTCTGATACTCCCTCAACATATGGAATGACCACTGGTCTGGGTCTGGGTTCCTCCTTTTCACCTGTTGGCTGACTGGAGTCCTGTTTGGGTTTCTTCTCTGCTTTCAGGAAGGCCCAGTTGTTTTGTTTTTTTGAATGTCCAGAGGACCAGATTTAACTTTTTTAGATTTTTCTACCTGGATTATTGAGCAGCAGCACGGTGGCACAACTGGTAGAGCTGCTGCCTCTCAGCGAGCAGGTCCTTGGTTCAAACCCCGGTCCAGGGGCCTTTCTGGGTGGAGTTTGCATGTTCTCTCCGTGCATGCGTGGGTTTGTTTTCTCCGGGTACTCCGGTTTCCTCCCACAGACCAAAAACATGCATGTTAGGCTGATTGGTAACTCTAAATTGTCCCTAGGTGTGAGTGAGAGAGTGAATGGTTGTTTGTCTCGTTTGTCTCTATGTGGCCCTGTGATGGACTTGCGACCCGTCCAGGGTGTACCCCGCCCCTCGCACAGTGATTGCTGGACATGGGCACCGGTGACCCCCGTGACCCAAAATGGAATAAACGGGTAAAGAAAATGGATGGATGGATGGATGGATGGATGGATGGATGGATTATTGAGCATGCATCAGGATAAAATTACGTTTCTTCAGATGTCCTTTCAGTGCTACTTAAATATTACAGATAAAGTCATGATCAGAGTGACATATATATATATATAGGTGTTTTTATTGTAACTGTCCTTGTAAACATATTTATTTACATGTCTACCCAATGTAGAACGTATAGTTTTTTATTTTAAAGTTTTGTCTTGGTTTTTACTCGTCTTTTTCCCCTGTCCTTTCAGAGGCTTTGTTGCCTCTAGCCAGGCTACAGTTAAAAACTGTTCTTACTCTGTCTCGCCTGGTTACATAAAGATTAAATAAAGATAATAATTATAAAACTTGGTGAGGTAGTCGCTGGGAGTCATCACCAACATGAACTCTGAGCACTGACAGTGTGAGATCTCACAAAATTGCACATACCTTATTTCAAAGTTTTGACCAAAAAGCCATAGTGGTGGGTGATATGCATTCTTTAAAAGAATATTCTTAATCTTAATTCTTTTGTTTGTTTTACTTCGGCTGCTGCCTCAGTTGCACATATCACACTTATCTGAATATATTACGGTATTATACTATAAGGTATATATTAGATGTACAGTATATTAACTGTGCTAGATAAATATTACAAGATTATTATAATACCCATTTGAATAATTGAGATAAAAATAGTTTTTAAATAGGCAAAGTTACTGCAAATATGTGGGAGGGGACTACTTTTGTGTAATGACTAATAATCTGTTATTTATTACCAAAACAATTGCCTTTTTAAAGGATTTTTCACTTTAAGATGTGTATCTTTTATTTGTATTATGTGTTTAATATTTAATTATTATTAACTTTTATTTAACCACATAAATCCCACTGAGATTACAGATCTCTTTAGAAGGTCCTCCTGGACCAGAAGGCAGCCTCACGTGCATGTTTTGAACCGTGAGAGGAAACCCACGAGAAGAACATGCAAACTCCACGCAGATAGACCCCAGGCCCAAACCAGGGATTGAATCCAGGACCTTTTTTCTGTGAGGCAACAGTGCTAACCACTGTTCCATCGTGCTGCCAGTTAGTTATTTTATGTTGATTCTAATAATCATGAGCTTTAAAGAATGTCCAGGATGGTTAAAGATGATTAACTTTTTAAGAGTAATATTTGATTTTTTTAAAATCAGTATTCAGCTTTTTGTTCAGAACAATATTAAAATGATGTGAGAAAAGAGCCGGTTTGTGTTTTTAGACAATCATTAGACATTAAATACATGATTAGTTAGTTTTTTTTAACAGTAGTCTTAATGATGTTCAGTGCAGTTTGACTTTTAGTTTGATCTGTTGGGACTAAACTTAAAGAAACTGACTCTCAGTCTTTTGTCTCCTTGGTTTGTTTCCGTCCTACTGTTTTGTGTCAACACACTTCAGTCTCCTCCCGAACACGTTTCTATCTGAGCGTGTGAGACACGTTTACTCCTGTCAATTCCTTAAACATCTGCGCGTGACGCCGTGCGATAACTCCAAGAGGATGTGACAAAACGACAAATCAGAGAGACGTTTGGACCGGGTTTGTTTAAAGAAAGAGAGCCGTAAACCTCTGGAGCAGGATGAGACACTACTCTGTCCGGTCTCCTTTCTTTCTGCTTCAGCAATGTAGCATCCTGAGGCGAGCTGGAGACAGAGATTTCAGCTGCAGAGATGAAGACAGGGCTGATGTGAGCAGAGCAGGAGGGAGGAGAAGAAACGACAGCAGCTGTAGGATGAGTCTGAGCTCAGGAGAAGAAGGAGAAGAGTGTTTTATCTTCTCATTATTCAGCCCCGCTCCCATTTTGACACCATTTAAAGCCAACCTCCACCTTCTCTCAGCATCATTAGCCATGACCGGTGAGCTTGGAGGCGTTACCCACATCCCCCTGGCCAAGGCTTTAGCTCCTCCCACCTCAGTTTCTCCTCCAACCAGCCCAGCATCCCATTCAATCGCTCATCCTCCAGCTCGCTGAGGGTGCGAGAGAGGAGGGGTTCCACTGGGCTCCCTGCCATTTTATTGTTTTTTGGGGGGAGGGTGTTTTTTGTGTGTCCCTCCTCTCATTCGTCACTGATCCATCCCTCCTTCCTCTCCTGGCTGAGCGTACAGTCAGTCCTCAGCATCACAGCAAGACGCTGGAGAGGAGAGCGCAGCCTCAGTGTGAAGACTTCAGCTCTTCTCTTCCCTCCAGGATTCTTTATTCACCATCTTTCTCACACCTTCGCATCCTTTTTTCCTCCTGATTTCCTTCCCACCAGCCTCTGCAGCGAGGAGCATCTTGTTCATGTGTGTTACGGCAGAGGAGCCAGGATGCGGACATCGGCGGCTGCCTGCAGCAGCCACAATCCCACGGGCTTTTCCCGTTAAACGCTGCCGGTAAACGACTTATCCTCAGAGTTAGAGGAGAGCAGGTGGAGCTGGAGATGGTGCATGCAGTTATGAGGATGCTGGTGAGGGAGGGTGCCGACGTTGACCTGATTATATTTTTGGTTGCGCTGTCGGCGCAGGCGTGAGGCGTTTTTACCGTTTGCTTCACGCAGACAGTTGGTATGAGCACAATGTGCAGGTTGTGGGTTTTGCTGGAAAGTGGAGGAGTGTGTCGGAGGTCGCTTGGTGTGTGCAAAGGATGCTGTAATCTGTGATGCTCATGTGAATTTCTGCAGCCATGCTTGTTGGTACACGTGTGTCTGCCTACATGTGACTGCTGCACGTCATTAGCCATTCATGTCGTCTCTTTGACCTTGTATTTCCTCCTGCTTGTACTTTGGGCCAGTTCTGTACTTTAAACTACGTTTTAGGTTGATTTTTGTTTGTTAAACTTACAACACAGATAAAGTAAATAACCTGAAACTGACAAAATAAAATAAAAATAAACAAATAAAAATAGGTCATTGTTTCTGAATTTGGGTTCAACATTATTATAAAAATAAAATTAAACTAATAAAATTGGACTTGACTAAAATAATGCTATCCTTAACCTAATGTTTTGTTGACCAACATTTTGAGTCACCTGACACTTCTTCACCTGTCTCCAGGTGTTCTGGTCCATCTGTCCCCAGGTGTTCTGGTCCTCCTGTCTCCAGGTGTTCTGGTCCACTCCTCCTGATCAAACTGGTCCAGCTGTCTCCAGATAAACTGGTCATCCTGTCTCCAGGTGTTCTGGTCCACCTGTCCCCAGATGTTCTGGTCCACCTGTCCCCAGGTGTTCTGGTCCACTCCTCCTGATCAAGCTGGTCCAGCTGTCTCAGGTCTGAAGGTTCCTCCTCCAGATGTTTCAGCTCCTTCCTCAGATGTTCACCAGGATTTAGATCAGGGCTCAGAAGGACACTTCAGAACAGTCCAGTGTTTGGTTCTGGTCCAGTCTTGGTGGTGTTAGCTGTGTTTTGGGTCATTGTTCTGTTGGAGGACCCAGGACCTGGGACTCAGACCAAGCGTTCTGACTCTGGGCAAATCATTTCAATCCAGAGTGCCTTGATAGTCTTGAGATTTTAGTGTCCCCTGCACAGATTCAGGACATCCTGACCCAGATGCAGCAAAGCAGAACAGAACCGAGCCTCCTCCATGTTTCACTGTAGCTACAGGGTTCTGTTGTTCGTCTCAGTTTGGGGTCAGAACACACAGCTGATGGACTTGTTGTCACAAAGATCCAGTTTTGTCTCCTCTGACCAAAGGACGTTCTCCCAGAAGCTTTGTGTCAAAGTCCAGTGTGTTTATGATCTGTTGTCCTCCTCGCTGTCTTCCATCAGGTCCACTTTGTCTCAAGCAGACTGATGGTGGGATCTGATCCTGATGACCTTTGACCCTGGAGTTCACCTCTCATCTTTATGGAGGTTGTTCTGGACTCTTTGGTCTTCAGTTTGTCTTCAGTTGTCCTCTTGTGGACACGTCCTGGCCGGTTGTCTCCAGTCCTGTGGACCTTCTGAATAATGTGTGCAGCTGTAGTCAGAGGAACATCAAGCTGATGGAGATGCTCTGATGGTCTTTACCTTCAACATGATGTCAATCATTGTCTCTTCCTGAGACACTCTGTCCTCAGCTTCCTGTGCTCCATGTCCAGTGTGTTACACACCGTGACACCAAACAGCCCTGTGACTACCTGACACCCTTTAAACAGGCAGACTGGTTACAGACTGGTTACAGACTGGTTACAGACTGGTTACAGACTGGTTACACCTGAGTCCAACATGTTCCTGTGGTTAGATTAGTTTCAATCTTTTCTAAAGAAACTTTTCTTTGTGTCAAGTCCAATTTCATTACTTTGTTTATTAAATTGTTTTCAATAATTCACGTCTGAATGAGGCTGACACAGTTTTGTATATATATATCTATATTTATATATATATATTTTTTTTTTCTTTCAGCTGCTTGTGTATGTGTGTTTTCAACATTTTTGCCTCTCTTTGTGTTTCTGTCCACAGCTGGGGGACTGGATGTACGAGAAGATGCTGATGGCGAGGGACAGCAGCCGAGACGAGACCCAGAAGCTCCATAAGAAATGGCAGAAGCACCAGGCTTTTATGGCCGAGTTGGCCCAGAACAAGGAATGGTTGGATAAAATTGAAAAGGTGAGTGCTGCCGGTCGCTCAGATAATGCGGTTCTTGTGCCTTGCAGATACATTTCTCTGACGTGGAGCTTTAATGGGTCATTTCAGCTCCAGAGTGTGTTTTCTGTCAGCCATTAGCTCTGTGGCAGGAGAAGTGGGGTTGATGAAATGTTATGATGAAGTTTGACTTTTAACAATAAAGAGTGGAGAATAGATGTTATTGTATACATTTAGGAGTTGTATCCGTGCAAATTTACTGATGAAACGAAAATCTAGTATTTGAATTTTTTATAATATTTTTATTCACTCATCTAAGAAACAGGGTTGAAAATAAAAATGTTGTGACTGCTGAGTCAGCACTTGTCCTGTTTGTAGTTTTGGACTCTAACGAGATTAGCATTCCTTCAGTACCTTCAGCTATTTGGTAAAGCCTTCAGCTCATTCTGGACGTTACTGCTATGACTTTTAGTGTTTGTAACTGTTTTACTTTTTGAAATATTTAACTTTATTTACAAATTTTCCTTGAAATTTCTAAAACCTTGAACAATTTTGTTCCCCTTGTAAAAAAAAAAAAAAAATTCCAGGAAACCTGCCTTATTTTTTGTTTTTTGCCACTGTTTTGCTAATTTTAGCTTTTAGCAACTGTTATATTGGCCTTAGCTTTTAGTTACATATGTAGTTTGACCTTTTAGCTAATGTTTTGATCATTTTGACTTCCATTTATTGTTTTGCTAGTTTTTGTTTTAGCTACTCTTCTGCAGGTTTTAGCTACTTTTCTGCTAATTGTAGATTTTAATTGTTGTTTTACTGGTTTTAGCTTTTAGCTACATTGTACTAGTTTTAGCTTTTAGCTACCATTTTTTTTAATTCCTTTATTTTACCAGGAAGAAATCCATTGAGATCATCAATCTCTTTTACAAGGATGTCCTGGAGAACTTACATTATGCTGGCTTTACCTTTTAGCTAATGTTATGATAATTTTGACTTCCATTTATTGTTTTGCTAGTTTTAGCTTTTAGCTACTGTTTTGCTGCTTTTCGTTTTAGCTACTCTTCTGCAGGTTTTAACTACTTTTCTGCAAATTGTAGTTTTTGCTTGTTTTGCTGGTTTTAGCATTTAGCTTTTTTTTTGTAGTTTTAGTCTTTAGCTTCTGTTTTGAGGAATTTGACATATATTTTTCTAATTTTAGCTTTTAGCTACTATTCTGCTACTTTTTGTTTTAGCTACTCTTTTGCAAGCTTTAGCTACCTTTCTACCTGTTGTAGTTTTCAGCAGTTTACAATTTTTCTTTTGCTCGTGTTAGCTTTTGTTGTACTAATTAAAAATTATAATGACAGTCTTTTTTGGCTTTATTAGTTAACATCAAAGTCAAACGGATATCTTGTGCGATTTATTAGTGCTCGGTGCTAAAGTTCGGGATGACTCTCAGCTACTACCACGGCAAAGTTAACCGTTTGTTTTAAAGTTGCTGTTGAAAATATCGAGGTCATCCGAGGTGGGCCTTCGCCTTCTGATCTGGTTGTTGTTGTTAAATCCTGTGGATCTTGTATGTTCGTTCTTCATGGTTCCTGTGATCTTAGCGTGTGTGCGTGCTCATGTTGACACGGTGGGATTGTGACGTGAGGCTCTGCTGAGCTCTGTGTAATGATACACGCTGATTTAATGCTGCGTGTTCACAGAACATCAGAACGTTTCCATCAGATATTCTTAAAGGTCAAGGAAGAGTTGGGTCACCGGAGACAGGAAGAGGTGAAACTAAAGTTTCTGTAATATTATATTCACAAAGGCTGTTTATATCAAATTATGCTTGTTTTATCATGATCACCAAGCAAGTGCTACATACATTTTTAATTAAATTTAAATAAAATGTAGGTTTGGCAGCTGTTTGTTCTGAAGCAAAGAGAGGTTCTTTATTTTAACACCTGCAAACATTAAGCTGAAATATCACCGTAATGCTCAAAACTTTCATTCTTTAGGCTTTTTGTTGAAAGGAATAAATAATGCTGACAAAAAAGAAAATTAGCATTTCTCAACTTTAATCTCTCTTTATGCAAACACAAAAAATCCTAAAATACATTTTCTTCTTGGTAGATTTTCCTAAACAAGTTTGGTTGTAGAGTTCAACTTTATTAAAAACAAAAAAGTATATATTTATATGTACAGGTATGTATGTATATATATATATATATATATATATATATATATATATATAAAAAAAAAAAAAAATATATATATATATATACAGGTATGTATGTATATATATATATATATATACATAAATTAAATAAAATGGACTATTGAACTTGTGGAACTTGAGCGACGTACTACAAATGAAACAAACTACGTATCCATCCCTTCACGTTAGGATCGATATGATCCGTCACCAGTGTTGGTATCGCTTGTTGGTGTAGATCTCAGTCATCCAGGACATGAGAAATTAAAAAAAAGATGAAACAACTGGACTTCTGTTCTGAAGTTGACGACGTGTGGAGTTCTAACTTTAAACTTCATGTAATTGGTATCAATATTGTCAATATTTGGATTGATCTGCATCCTTTACCTCACTGATGTGAACGTCAGATGAAATGCAACGTGTCAGGCTGTGGTCACTTTAAATAACGTCAGCTCTGATTCAGTTTCAACATATGAAAAAGACCTGGGTTGGATTTGAAAAATTCTGACCCGTTACGTTCAGACCGTCTGATCTGGACCACTGTTGCCTTCCGTGTAAATGTAACCTTCAAGTGTGAACACAGCCGAGACAGTGACAGAGGACACCTGAGGAGAGTGGACCAGTTCTCACGATCACGATTCACCTTGTCGGACGTGGCGGCATGTCGTGACGACAAGCATCCGGCGGCGACTGGAGCAGGGTGTCTCCTGGTTCCTGTGCTTGTAATGGTTGCCTGACAACAGCTGCCCAAACTCCTCTCCCTCCTCCTCCTCCTCCTCCTCGTGCTGCTCAAGTGTGAAGGTCATTCTTCCTGATGCCTCTTCCTGTTTCCCCTCTCACTTTTTCATTCATCCTCAATACTTTAATTTCTGCCTCTTCAGCTGTTTTCCATCCTCCACCGTCCGCTATCATCCTGGATTTTCCATAAACCTCAACCCAATTTAATGGAACTTTAAGTGCAGAAACACAAGAATAAATATTTTAACTAACACTTAAAACCATTGATTTACTTTTCAGATTGGTCAGCTGGTATGTAAACATTCACTGAAGTGAAAAAAGCTAAGGTAATTTTATAAATTACCCTTTTTTTGTACGTTTAAAGATATATTTCTAAGTAGTTTCTACGAAAGTCTCAAATCTGAGTCAAATCTGAAAATTTACATAATTTAGGTTTCAGCAACTTTTTACGCAAATCAGATACACTGAAGGGATGAATTGTACAAATAAGAGTCTTAAATCATTTTTAGTAAAAGCACATTTTCATTCAAGATAAACTACGTCTTTACAAGAACAATAATTTTTGTATTTCCTGTTCTATCAAGTTATTTTAAGCCTATCAGAATCTTTTGTCTCAGCTAAAATGTTTATAGCTGTTTTGATTGTCTGTTTAAAAAATAATAATTTTATAAATTAATTAATCTAAGTCCATATACAGAACTGAATATATTTATCAATACCACTCCTCTACGGGAGGATTAATCATACAGTTTATTATATAAATGAGCAGAGTTCTGAGGTCTGAGCCACAGGAGGAGGTGTTGGTGTGGTGGAGTACGGAGGTCCACTCAGCTGACGTTTGCTTGTTTCTGAATATGTAATGCAGGGTTTCATCAGTCAGGGCTGTTCTGATGCTGCAGGAGGACTGAGCCTCCTCAACAAGCCCAATAAACACATTGGAAACTAAAGGGAACACATCATAAACTAGAGAAATTACATCTTCTGTGAAAACACTATGTGAACGCTGAATGACTGCTGAAATGTGCTGAAGATGCTAAAAGAAGCAGAATGCTAGTTAAAAGCTAACAATAGCAAAACATTACTTAAACGCAACAAAAAGGTCAGTTAAAATCTAAAAGTAGTAAAAGGCACAAGCAACAAAAGCATTAGCAAAGTCTAAGAGTGACAAAAAGGTAACGAAAAATTCAACTTAAGCAGAAGAAGAGTCATTTATTAAAAATAAAAGTAGCAATAATCTGGTAAAAAAAAGTCAAAAGTAGTAAAATGCTAGTTAAAAGCAGTGAAAGTTTAGCTAGAAGCTAAAAGTAGAGTATACAGTAGCTTTCTAAAAAGAGGTGAAAAAAATAGCTAAAAGCAGCAAAAAGCTAGCTGATGCTAAGCAAAGTTAAAAGTAGCAATAAATTGGCTCAAAGCTGAAAGTAGTGAAAAGCAGCTAAAAGTTCAATATAGCAAATGGAAGTTTGAAGCTAACATTAACAAAATCTACCTAGAAAATATTTGAGCAATCTTCTTTTTCTTTTGGCTGTTCCCTTTTCAGGGGTCGCCACAGCGGCTCTTCCTCCTCCAGGAGTTTAAATAGCCATAAGCTAGCTAAAAGCTACAAGTAGCATGCAGACTAAAACAAAGCCAGTTTGCTGAAGCATATTTAAAATAAAATGGTTTTAAAGGAATTAAAGAGCTCTCCATGTTCTTCTGTGGGGAAATATTTGTAAACATATTCACAGGTTTGAAAAGGATAAAAGTTGGGTATAATTTCAATAAGAAAGAATAATACTGTGGAATACGGGCCTTTAGTTTGAATTTTAAAACAGTCCTTGTTTTTGTTTATCTAGAAATGAAATCATAAAAATGTGTCAACATCCTGAACCTTTTCTACGATTGTTGCTTAGAAACGTCAGTCGCTCTGTGACGTAGTAAAGATGGAGTCCAAACAGGAGATTTTAAAGGCTAAATGTTTTACGGTGAATGCACCGTGTAAGTATCATTTTCTCTGTGCAGTTTGAAGCCCAGTGGGCTTTATGGTTCTGGTTCTCATCGCTCCCTTTCTGCTTCATAATTAATTGACCTTATTAAGAAGGACAAGTTCAACTTCTGCTGCTGCTTTGGTTTG